TGCCTCCTACTAAACATCGGTGGGATGAATGGAGGAACAAATGAATAGATGATACTATTAAGTACACTGGATCAGAAACGTTTTCATTTTCCCCTTCAGATGGTGAGGCATTTGTTTAGGGGACCCCATTCATTCCTGTGCTATATTTCCATCACCTATACAGGCCTGAAATGTTCAATAAATGCAAGTCTAATTGAGTAAAATCAAATCAGAGGAGACAGATCGGGGATTCACAGATGAGCTGGATATAGATAAACAGACAGGGCAGGGACGCACATTGAGAGGCAGGGTAGGTAGGGGAACCTTAATGGGAACTTGGAGACTTTCACACAGAAGCAGCAGAGTAGAATTACTGAGCAAAATCCATCCTAGGAGTCAGGGAAATCAATTTTAATTAGGGATACAACCTTGAATAAGTCACTTCTTCTCTGTAAGCTTTGGTTTGTCCATCTCAAAAATGAATGGAAATAGACCAGATTATTTGTAAGATTCCCTCCAGCTGAAACATCTCATGGTACAAAGATTAACACCAGAAAATAAATACCAAGTGAAAGGGAAGGTAACAAGCATTTTGCTCTATCTGGAGGCCTTAGGCATAGAATTGATTTACCCCAGGCTGGGCCACAAGGCCCCGGCCCACATGTACACCACTGTCTGAGTGCACACACATGCAAACCACGTATTCGTGTGCACACAGAGGCTGCCCCAGCTCGGGGCCTATCTCCATAGACAGAGAATAGCCAGGTAAGGAGGGCAGGTGAATAACATCCTCCAGGAAAAGACTAAGGGTCAGAGGAAAAGTAGGCCCATGCTCTGGCAATCTGGGCTACTTCCCAGTTCTAGGAAGTTTAAGGGAAACCCACTGCCCAGGGTCTTAGGCAGAGTTTCCAGTGTGTCATCATCTTTCTCCTCTCTGGAAATAGAGCAACCTGTCCCAAAGCCACATTGAAAAATCTAATTTCCAGGAGGAGGTAAAAGTAAGATATGTCTTTTTTATGAGGACTTCCCTGGGCTAGGAAGGGCCAGTATGGGAACCCCACCCCAGACCAGAGATTGGCATTTGCAATAAATGCAACTTGAACTGAGCAAAATCAAATCAGGGGAGACAGAGCAGACTTCACAGACAGGCTGGGTACCCAGGAGGCAGCCCTCTGCATGACTGATCAACTGATAAACCAATATGACAGGGATGTACAGCTCTCCAGCTAAGGCTGGTGTTAGAATTTCTAAAGGATTACATTTTATATGGTTATATAAGTACCCACAGAATAACCTCAATTTTGCCTCTTGGTTTACAAAGCCAAACATGTTTACTATCTGGCCCTTTTCAGAATTTTTGCCAATCTCTGACCTAAACAATTGCCAAGTCCCCCTGCTGCTGGTAAAATCAGAACTCCTACTCTAGCCACTGGCCTTGAACTCTAGATTCCATCCCTGAATGATGATTATGGGGGCCAGGCAGCAATTCTCCTCCAGCCCACTATCTCCTCTCCCTCATCCAGCATCCCCTCCCTGCTGCCCAGACCCCCTGCAAGGTCTCCAGAAGATTTTCTTTTCTACCTCTGTCCTCATTGATGCTCCCACCCCAATGTCCCATCACACCATTTGGGAACCCCCTACAAGGGACTTGGTCATGTATGTCTTGGGTGAGTTGCTTTTGTGTTTCACGACTGCCTCCCCAGTGAGACTGTAAGCTGCATGAAAACAGGGAACACATTCTGACATTTTTCCCAGTATCCACCTCCCCACACCTCAGAGAATCCTGGGCCCAGAGGGGCTGTCATAGATCTGAGTAGATCTGTGTCACTGAGGCCAAAGAAGAGAGAAGAGTGCCTGCCCACCACTCATGGCCAAACTCCACTGTGAGGAAGCCTGCCACTTCTGGAGGGGACTTGAGCGCAATGTCCCTGAGCCAAGAGAAGCTCTGTTCCATCTATGCTTTGCCCAAGAATGCTTGTATCACTCACACTACAACAATACAAATCCCAGCTCTATGGACAAATTCCTAAAGGGCTCATTCTCTGCTTCATTCTCCCCTCCAGGGAATGTCCTTAGAGTCAAGGCTTTTAAAGCATATGACATGATTTTTTTTCTCTGAACCTGTAATTGCTGAGGGTTTTGCAAGCATGTGAGCAGGAGAAGAGAAAAGGAAGTTACAGAAAGGAGGGGGCTAGCCAGATGCTTTGCTGTCCTTACACAGTGCATGGCACCCAAGCACAACCCTCTTTCTGGGCCCAGCTTTCCAAAGCTGGTAGATTATAAACCCAGGGATGCTTTCCTGCTGTGGGAGCCAAGAAGGAACATCTGGATAAAAAGCTTGGCAGAGGCTCCTTGATTTAATCTTCTCAGGAAGGTAAAGACTGCAGAAATCAATGACAACCGAGAAAGGGGGTGGGAGGGGACAGGAAAGGGGCCCTTATCTCAGGTCGCCTGAGAAAGAGCCTCAGCATTCGGATCTCTCTCCTGCTAGTCATGGCGAAGGCAAACCAGGATGGCTGGAATGTACTAGTGCAGCCTATTCTAGAATCACAGCCACAGGTGCCCTGAGAATATGGAGAGACTGAAATAACTTTGAACTATCTAGTGGCTGTCCCGCCCATGCCCCCAGGACAGTCCTCCACTGCATCACTATCCTCTAGGATAGAAGGAGGGGACCGGGGTAATGAAAACCAGGTTTCTCTCTTAAACCACCTTGGTCCTCTGTAAACCTGCCGTGCAGTATTCTCTCCTCCCACAAAAGATAGGGACCCTCATTCTTGCACCTCCTCCATTCTATTCCTGAGGATTTCTTTGATTGTGCCCACCTACTGGAGACTTTAAAGATGCAGCCCATTCTAGTTGGCACAACATCTTGCCAAGATGTGCCCCTGGACACATCTAAGACCTAGGTGTTCCTCTCACTTTGTTACACCTAAAAGGATGGCCCTTCAGGTCAAAGGTTGTGATATCTCTTGTTTTTAAGGGAAGGCAGCTTAATGGTGACTACTCGGTCTCAGTCACCCAATTAGGTGTGGCCTAAACTACAAACATTAGCTTTAAAGGCATCGAGGGTGTGGAGGTGAGACTGTGTAGACTTGAGCTCTGGCAAGATGCCCTGCTTTTAGGCAGACTGCAAATTAGAAATAAATAAAGTGTCTCTGTTTTTCTTCCTTTGCTTTCGCATGTAATGAAAAGCAACAGCCTGCCTGCACGATCCTTGTTTCCTCCTCAGATTCGCTGTTAAAGTGCCTGACTGGATATGATACTGGGCATCTGCAGACACTTCCTTTTATTACTACGTTGTCTGTCTGACACAATCCCCTGATTTAGTAGATCCCCCCTTATCCACATAGAGACCTGGACACATTCTCTGAACCAGCTGTTAAACCCACTACTGTCCTGGGGGAGGTATGATTCTAGGTTACAAACCCACACTGGTGAGGATGTAAAATGACCAGTCTCTGGATTATTCAGCAGAAAAAAAGTGACAGCAGGAATCTGGAGCCCCATGGCAGACAGCTAATCCCAGAGCGAAATGACAACCAGTGTGAATGCCTACTGCAATTGTTTTGCCACAACCATTCCTGACAAGGGAACAAGGGAATTTGTTCTGAGTTTAGGGATTACTCAGGGCAAGGCCACCATCTGTAGAAAACAGCCTTTAACATGAATAAGCAAATCCTTCCATTTGGTCTGAGGCTTCAAGAAAGGCATGGACGCTCCTCTGCCCCACCACGGGGGCAGTGAACCACCAGGCAGTCCCTCTGTGGCTTGTGCACCGGGCTTCTGGGGCTGTGCTTTTGCCAACAGGCTTCATGTCTGTGAGTCAGGCTTGTTTCCCAGAGCTGTTGAGAGCCACGCTAAGGAGGGCTTCAAACCTGCAGACAGAGGAGACTTCAGAAATCCAGTGTCAGGGGACCCCAGCAGGACTGTTGGGGGTCTGATCCCCCCTTTCTTTTTATTCCCTCCATACTCTATGCTGACCTGAAGGCTCACACCACACCTTCAGGCAGCAGAGTGGTGCAGAGGTGTCCATAGCATAAACAGCCTGGGGCAAACAATACACCCACCTTTGTCTATGAGGCTCTGAAAGATGTTGCTGAGGAATCATAAGCGTTCCAAGTTTTCTGCCACCCCAGGCAAAGTGTTTGCTCTGACTTCAAAACCAGAAACAGCCAGTGACAGACTATTTTTAAAACTTTCAAAAAATATATCAGCCATAGAAAAACTAACACTTGCTTCAACCAAGTAACCTTTTATTTCCTGGGATAAAAATAAAGAGAATAAATTATCAGAAGTCTTCCTCCAACATCATTAAAATGCTTTTTGAAGAAAGTTACGAGAATTATTTAAGGCGCACAGAGAAAGTCAGATTTGCCTTTCTTCCAGAACATTCCCTGCTCTAGACGCAAAGCACTGATACCACATCCCGGGAAAGAGGGGCTTAGAGACACAGGAACCACAACAGCGCTGCCACGGTCTTGGCTCTAATAGAAGCATCACAGGACCCCTCTCTCTTCCACAAATACAATGTATATCTTGAAAATATATCCAAAATATCTCTATCTGAACTATAGTACAAAAACCACTTACCAACCATAAAAATAATATTTTCCCCTATTCACAAATATAATCACATGTAAAGGAAATTTGGAACACATGGATGGGGGTTATAAAATCTCTTGGGATATGGGCTATTTAAAGTCATTTTTGTTTGGGTTATCCCTCTGCTGGGTATAGGGAACTGGCTACAAATACATCCATCTCACAGCACTCACCATTTCAACAGCTCCTGCGTCATGGAATGTGGTACTTTTTAAAAATAGGCGACCCTTGGTGTCATGGAAAAAAAGAGGAAAAAATGGGGGGATCAGGGGAGGGAGGGAGTGCAAGAATCAAAGGACAGGGACAGACTAAGGTTACAGCATGGCTTCAAATACTCTGTGGTATAATGCAATACCCAGGTTGAGCAGGACTCCCCTTTCATCACCCCACTGTCACCAGTCTGCCTGGATCCCCCTTTACAAATCTGTCTCCCTGCTGGTGTCCAGGCAGAGAGCATAGAGGGACCTCCGCAAGTCCACGTTGCTCTTGGCCTTGAGGTTACACTTCTCAAGGGGGCAGCTGCCCCTCCGGGTACTGTCCCCACTGTCCAGGGAACCCCCCTGGACAGTCTTGCAGAAGGAACCCTTGTTCCAGCTGGCCTTCCGCTGGCCCCCTCTGTCCAGCCCGGTTCCTTGGCTCTGGCTGCCTTGCTCTTCCTTCAAGGCTGCCTGCTCCTCGTGGTCCGTCTCCCGGTGGTAGAAGTAGTTGAAGTTGGAGACGATGACTGGCACAGGCAGAGCAATGGTGAGGACCCCTGCGATGGCGCACAGGGAGCCCACGATCTTGCCCCCGACGGTGATGGGCCTCATGTCGCCATAGCCCACAGTGGTCATGGTGACCACCGCCCACCAAAAGGCATCCGGAATGCTGGAGAAGTGGGTCCCCTGGCTGTCAGCCTCTGCGAAGTAGACGGCGCTGGAGAAGAGGATGACCCCGATGAAGAGGAAGAAGATGAGCAGCCCCAGCTCCCTCATGGAGGCCTGCAAGGTCTTGCCCAGGATCTGCAGCCCCTTGGAGTGGCGGGAGAGCTTGAAGATGCGGAACACCCGGACCAGGCGGATCACTCTGAGGATGGCCAGGGACATGGCCTGCTGCCCGTTCTGGCCGCCCCCGCCCCCACCTCCGGGCTGCTGCTCTGCCAGCTCGGTGCCCAGGGTGATGAAGTAGGGGAAAATGGCCACAACATCAATGATGTTCATGATGTTCCGAGAAAACTCTGCCTTGCTGGGGCAGGCGAAAAAGCGCACAAGCAGCTCAAAGGTGAACCAGACGACGCACGTGGTCTCCACGATGAAGAAGGGGTCCGCCAGAGTCCTAGGCAGGAGCGGTGCCACCGTCGGGCCAGAGGGGGGCGCCACGACCCCGCTGCCGTTGGCCCCGGGGGCCGGCACGGGAGGCTGGGGGGGCGCTGGGGGGTGGCGGAGCAGCTCGCGTTCGTCCCTGAACTCGGGCAGGGTCTCCATGCAGAAGGTAATGATAGAGATGAGAATGACCAGGACCGAGACGATAGCGATGGCCCGTGCCGACCCAGAGCTTTCCGGGTATTCAAAGATAAGCCACACCTGGCGTTGGAACTCGTTGCGGGGCAAGGGTTTCTCCTCTTCTTTAATGAAGCCCTCGTCCTCCCTGAAGCGCTGCATGGCCTCGTCACCCAGCTGGTAAAAGCGGATCTCGTCTGCGAACAAGTCCAGGGAGACGTTGACCGGCCTCCGCAGGCGGCCCCCCGACTGGTAGTAGTAGAGGATGCCGTCGAAGCTGGGCCGGTTGCGGTCGAAGAAGTACTCGTTTCTCAGGGGATCGAAGTAGCGCAGGCGCTTGGCGGGGTCCCCCAGGAGGGTATTGGGGAACTGCGCCAGCGTGCCCAGCTGCGTCTCAAAACGCAGCCCAGAAATGTTTATGAGGACGCGCTGGTGGTGAAGGGACGCCGCGCTCAGCGCCTGGTCCTCCGCCATGTCCAGGCCCGGGTGGCCTTCTCCCTCCTCGTCCTCTGGAGGCGGCCGTCTAGGCGGTGGCAGCTCCTCTGGCAGCGGAGGCAAAGGCCGCCCTCCCGGGTCCGCGCCCCTCTGCAAGCTATGCCCTGTAGGCGCCACTTCTTTGGGTCCATCCGTGAGCCCAACCGTCGGGGGACACTGGAGCGCTCCCCCTGTGGCCTGCCCGCAGCCTGTTTCGGCCTCACCTCTTGCTCTGACGGTCATGGCACCGCCGTTCTCCAGGGGCACCAGGGCGATCTCCATGGCGCGGGGACAGGGGGCATGCTGCGCCCCAGGCAACCGGCTCCTGTGTCCCCCACTCCCGCTCCGCCGCCCGCGCCTGGCGTCGGGCTCCTCTCCCGCCGTCGGCCGGCCCTGTTTTGGGGCGGCGAGCTGGGGTTGCTGGCGCGATCCTCTCGCCTGGTCCTGACGTCAAGAAGCCGCTGCCCTGCTCTCTGCCGCTCTCTCTGTTCTGGCAGCCGGTTACCAGGCAGCCGAAAAGCCTCCTTCCCGCAGATGCAACCTCCAGCCGCCCCTCTCTGGCTGCGCCGCGCTAGGCCTCCACCCTCCCCGCTGCTCCCCTCCCTCTCCCTCCCCTCCTCCCGCTTCCCCTCCGCTGCAACCCGAGTCTCCCGAAAGGGCGCAGCTGGGCCCTGAGCGAGGGAAGGGAGGGGGCCGAGAAGGGCACAGCCCGGTGGAGGGAGGGAGAAGGGAGGATGGAGGAACAGGTTGTACCGAGAGCGCTGAAACTCCCAGGGCAACCAGATGAGAATAGCTCTGCATTTCAGTTCACCTGGGAACCCGCTGGAAGCCAGTGGACTCCAAGGGAAATGCACTGCCTTGGATTGAAGGACTAGGCTTTGAGATGAGTCAGATTATTAGAGAGAAAGGAAACAGCAGTCCTTTCTACTTTGGGAAAATAACGGTATCTCTCTGGGAAGAATTGTAGACTGGAGGGGGCACGGAGGAGCTACGGACCTTGGAATACACAGATCAGTGGACAAGCATCTCCCTTCCCATCTTCCTACAGACCCACAAAAAGGTACGCTGAAACCTCGCAGCGTCCCCGTGCCCTTGCCCTGGGAAAAGCCTTGCTCCCAGTACAGACGGGTGGTCAGCCAGTGTAGACCCCGAGACAGCCTCCAGCAGGCAGCTTGATCAGGAGAGGAGCTGTCTGTTGTCATAACCCAGCAGACTCACAGCCCCTCCTCCCTCTCCATCAAATCCCATTTGCAAAAATCGTAACAGCAAAGGGGAGGAGGGAGGAAAGAAATCCTGGCAAGGGCTGATCCTGCCTGGTGCACCTTAAAGCTAGCAACTGTATCAAGGTTTGTGAAGAGAGTGGTAAGTAGGAATGTGATTTATGAGAGGGAGTCGGGAGGTGGTCCAATCTCCAAGGCTGCAGAATTCCCTGGAGTAGAACAATAACAACCAATGTTTTTCACTTACTAGTACCAGCCCATTCTTAGCACTTTACACAACTGACTCTGTGTATTCCTCCAGCAACCTATTTTGTAAGTACTATTATTACCCTTATTTATAAAAGAAGAAATGGAGGCACAGACAGAGATGGACTAACTTGCCCCAGCTCACACAGGTAGAAAATGGAGAGGCTGGGATTTAAATCCAAGCAAGGAGCCTTGGGGCCCTTGCTCCTTACTCTGCTCCTCTGCAGAAATCCATAATCCCCTTTTCTGACACAGGCTCGCCCTCCCTCAACATCTGGCCCAAGAGCTTTAGCTCTCTACTGCAGGAGGCAGGAGGTTGGCTAAAATAACATATAAATCTTGCTAGGTTAGGACACTAGGGTGTCCCTGCTCTCGTCGCTGACTCTACGAGGGATCAGAGGGAATCAATAACCAAGGGAAATATCTTTCAAGGTGTGTCTGACAGCTCCAGACACTGTCTCCAGATGTTGCTTCGTTTTAAATGACCATGAAATTACTGTGTTTTGGAGCATCAAATTTTGTTCTTGTACATTGTTTGGGATCTGTGTATGTGCCATTAGGGCCTTCTGTCTGATGGTATCTGTAGTCGAGGGATGATTTAGAAACTTAGTTCTGGGTACACATGTGTTTGCTGGTATAGCGGGGTGTGGGCATGTAAACACGTGCCAGGGTTTGAGAAGCAGATGGCATATATGGCTTTTTGAGAGTGCATACAAGAGAGGGGATGTGAATTTGGTATGTGGAAATTTTTTTATTGCATGTGACATGCATGTGGTTGGCTGTCAATGCAGAAGCATGAATGAGTAAGAAGTATGAATGTGGGAATCAGTGTGTGGAGGAATCACGGGTTAACAGCGCCTTGTACTCGCTTCCCCCGGACCTCTGCCATCCCTGCTACCTCTTTGCTGGGCTTTTACTCTTCTCTGGCTCTGGGCTTGCCAATTGGGATTAGGTCTTCTCCCAGGAAACCTGGGACTTACTGAGCCTGCAGAGGGTGAAGTTAGAGATCTATGACCACTGTGTCTACTGATGGATGCTATATTGGCTTACACGGGTTGTCCTTGGGCTCCCTCAAGGAATGAGATATCTGGAGCTTGTCTTCCTCAGCCTCTCAGGGAGACTGTTTTCTGAAGAATAAGAGTACAACATAAACAGTCCCGGGAAAGCACATAAGCCAGGCCGCCTTTAATGTGGTGTTTTCTTAAATCTGCTTCCCATGCATTTGCCAGTTCTTATAGGTCTCTTGCCAAATTACCTTCAGATGTCACGTATGGTAACTGGGAGGTCTACTACTTCCATCTCCCTTAAAGAAAGGACTTGCTTTTTGGCTACAGAAGTGCAGTTAGCTCACAGCCTTCAGCTATCGGAGCTCTGGCTCTGCCTCAGCTTTCCCACAGGGGCCACGCCTCCTCCCAGGCAGTGCTTTGTCAATGGTGGGACACAGCAGCATGACAGGACCTGGCCATGTCTCCTCAATGCCCACCTCTGCTATTGGGCAATCCTTGCTCAGGAGTCCCCAGTGGGTTGGCCAAGACTTTGAGAACTCTGAATTGCAGGCTGAGACTGTCTCTGTCCAACCCTTATTATCCTCCTTTTCCTTTCACATCATCATCACTCTCCAATGCTTTCTCTAACGAATTCCGCTTTCTATCCCTTTTCTTTTCTTTTGTGACAGGATATCGCTTTGTTCCGTGCACTAGAGTGCAGTGAAATCACCACAGCTCATAGCAACCTCAAACTCTTGGGCTTGGCTCGGTGCCTGTGGCTCAAGCGGCTAAGGCGCCAATCACTTACACCTGAGCTGGCGGGTTCTCATCTAGCCCAGACCCGCCAAACAACAATGACGGCTGCAACCAAAAAATAGCCGGGCATTGTGGCGGGTGCCTGTGGTCCCAGCTACTTGGGAGGCTGAGGCAAGAGAATTGCTTGAGCCAGGAGTTGGAGGTTGCTATGAGTTGTGATGCCACAGCACTCTACCCAGGGTGACAGCTTGAGGCTCTGTCTCAAACAAACAAAAAAACCTCTTGGGCTTAAGCGATCCTCCTACCTCAGCCTCCCAGATAGCTACCATGCTTGGCTAATTTTTCTATTTTGTTGTAGAGATTGGGTCTCCCTCTTTCTCAGCTGGTCCCAAATCCACGATGCTCACCTTTCCTAACCTTTTTATCTTTTTAAAATACTCCTGCAATAAACCTCTTGCACTCTTAACTCTATCTCTGTGTCATTTTCCAAGAGGTCCCATCACGTAACTGAATGCTACTTTCTTTTTTATCTAACACTAGGATATAAGCTCTTTTGTAGCTTAACCTGCACCATCCCCTGAAGATATTGTTAAAATGCAGACTTTGAACTAAGGTGGAGCTCAGACTGCATTTTGAACAAACTTCTAGTGATATAGATACCCTGGTCAGGTGGTGGCTGTGGCTCAAAGGAGTAGGGCACCAGCCCCATATGTTGGAGGTGGCAAGTTCAAAGCTGGCCCTGGCCAAAACCCGATAACCCCTGTCTACAAAGCACACTTTGAGTAGCAACCTCATCTTAGACAAACTCCAAATAATTAATATCTTTCAAGGAATGAGAGGAATATGCCAGAATGTGATATACAGAGGAATAGTAATTGGAGATTTTCACTTAATTCATAGGACTGGTCCTAAAAGACCACAGAAAGTGTGCAGACCCAAAGAGAAAAGGCTATCAGAGGGGTAATTACAAGTAAGGAATTGAAGGGAAAGAGAATAGAAGAAGGAGGAAGAATCCTAAATATAAACGTTGTTAACCCATTCCAAAAACACTTACGGAGTACCTGCTATGTGGGAGGCATTGTTCAAGGTGTTGACTATATTAATGACTGAGATACACATTTCCTAATCTCTTAGAGGTAAATCCTGAGCATCTACTTTTATATTAATTGTTTAATTACAGTTTTGAGGAGTGCATCTAGAGTATAGGATACTAGGAGAATAGTGAGGAGCCTGACCCCTTCTAGGGTGCAGGGAAGCTTTACTGAGGTGACGAGGGGGTAGGCACCATTCCAGGGAGAAGGAAGAGTATGTCTGGAGGCCCCAGGGAAGGAAAGGACAGGGCTAGTGAGAGGAACTGAAAGAAAATGTGGTGGACACAGAGGGCGAAGGATGGGTTCTGCCAGACTGGGCCAGAGAGGTGGACAGAGGCCAGATCATGTGCACTTGCTGGTCATGTTTCATGACCTCCTCAGCCTGATGTACTACAATCTCCTTTCTTCCACCTTCAGATAATTTTCTTGTGTCTCTACTAAAGCGGATGTGCTAATACAGTTCTATGCTCGCTCTCCATGTTTGTTTAGCCCATTCTGCCCTCCATCCCTGTTAAAATATATCATCATCTTTGTCTCTATTGGATGTGTCTAGCTGCCAGCTATCCATCTAGCCCAGTGTGGGGAACTTATGGCCCCAAGGCCACATGTGGCCCTCCAGATCTCCAAGTGTAGCCCCTCAACTGAATCCAAACTTCACAGAACAAATCCTTTTATTAAGTGCTATCTACCACATCATTTCTCTGTCTATTGTCCATTTACCTAGGTAGCTAGCTAGCTATTATCTATCTATCTATCACAAGTAGGCAGATGGGTTGGTAGGTAGATGATAGATAGACAAATAGAAAAATAGATGAAAGAGAGAGAGGGAGAGATTTTGAAATTGGGGACCATGCTTTATTCCTCTTTGACTTTGCTTATAACACCAAACATGGTGCCATGTCCATAACATGCATCTCAATTAAAATGTGCTGAATGTAGTCAAAGTAAGAGAAAATCTCACCTGTCAGAGGAGGGAGGGAGAG